GCAGTGAACAGACTGTTTCAGTTCTTTCTTTCTGTCAAACTACCCAGAAACCCAGTGGCTTGGAAGAAACATCTTTCACATCTGTCTGGACTCAGCTGCGTGGTTTTTACACAGAGGTCTCTATCTGTGCTGGAGACATCGTAGGCTTGACTGCACTGGACATCAGTGAGGCTCACTCACATGGCTGGCCACAGATGCTGGTGTCAGCTGGATGTTCATCTTGAGCTGTTGACCAGAGCACCTGCTTGGGGCCCCTCCATGGCTTGGGCTTCCCATGCATTAACACTGGGAAATACATGTATATATGTATTCGAGGTCCATAAACTTAAAACACTGAATTTCGGCCAGGCGTGGTGGCTCGTGCCTGTAATCCCAGCACTTTGGGAGGCTGAGGCGGGTGGATCACCTGAGGTCAGGAGTTCAAGACCAGCCTGACCAACATGTGTTTCTACTAAACACAAAAAATCAGCCAGGCGTGGTGGTGCATGCCTGTAATCCCAGATACTTGGGAGGCTGAGGCAGGAGAATCACTTGAACCCGGGAGGTGGAGGTTGAGGTTACAGTGAGCCAAGAATGTACCTTTGCAATCAAGCCTGGGCAAGAAGAGCAAAACTCCATCTAAAAAAATAAAAATAAAAATGAAAAACCACTGAATTTCATCAATGTTAATGATCACCTCTATTGGTGAAAAAAAAAAAAAATTAATCATAAAAAGTATTACCAGGAGATTTGGTCTCATTCCTTTTATATTACATTTAAAAATTTCATAATTCACATATTTAAATTTTTTTTTCATATTTACACTTTCAACAAGTATGTATTAAGCACATTTTATTAGGTCGTGCTGTGCTGGGTTTGGGGACATAAAAGTGAAGCGAATACTCACACTCCCTTCCCATGGAGCTCCTGTTCCCAAGTGAACAAGCAGAAGGCAGAGCAAAGCCTGGAACAAACCACGTGCAAGTGCCGCACTGGCGAGGCTCTAACGGGAGCCCAAGAGCAGTCGGGGCACACGCCAGGGATGTGCCGCCCTCTAGGAATCAGGGCAGGTCTGATCAAGGACCATCTGATCCCTTTTTTTTCCCTTTCTTTCTTTTTTCCTTTGTTTTCATTTTTCAACTTTTACTTTACAGTCAGGAGTACATGCGCAGGTTTGCTACAGGGGCATATTGTATGATGCTGAGGTTTGGAATATGAATGAATCTGTCACCCAGACAGTGAGCATAGTACTCAATAGACAGTTTTATTTCAACCCTTCCCCCCTCCCTCCTTCTCCCTCTTGTATTCCTCAATGTCTATTGTTCCAATTTTTATGTTCATGAATGCTCATTGTTTAGCTCCCACTTATTAGTGAGAACATGTAATTTTTATTTTCCGTTTCTGCATTAGTTTGCTTAGGATAATGGTTTCCAGCTGCATTCATGTTGCTGGAAAGGACATGATTTTGTTCTTTTTTATGGCTGCGTAGTATTCCATGGTGTATGTGTACCACAGTTTCTTTATCCAGTCCACTGTTGATTGGCACCTGGGTTGATTCTATGTCTGCTATTGAGAATAGTGCTGTGATGAACATATGTGGGCATGCGTCTTTTTAGTAGAATGATTCATTTTCCATGGGTATATATCAGCAGTTGATGTTGGCTATTTATCTTATATCTTGTGAGCACAATAGTTGACAGGCAGAGACAGACAACAGTCAAATAAACAAATGTAGAATAATTAAGGCCACTGATTTTGAAATGGAAGAGTTCTGGGTTTCAATCATGGTTCAGCTTCTTAACAGCCATGCAACTTTGGGCAAGGCACTTAAACTTGTAGAACTCCCATTTCCTCACCTGTAAAAGGGAAATTTAAAATGTGAGTACTCTGAAGATTAAAGGGGATAACTCAGTGATGCTTAGTATACAATCCCCAGTCCCCAGCATAGAGCCACTACTATTCTTCTTAAAGGTGTTTTGTAACCTAAGAGTGCCCCTATATCATTGAAACACCCTGGTTGGGGTCTTACCTTGAGATAGATCACTGAAGATTTTAGATAGAATTGTCAGAAAACACAGGAAAGTAATATGCCATGTGACAGGCCCTTGAGACCTGGGGAGAGCTGGTCACCTGAGGTCTTAGGACAGAGCAGAGATGGACAAGTTAGGGACACAGGGCCATAAACATGACCTGGAGCCATGCTAACACGCTGCGTCTGCTAAGCTCTCTGCTACGGTTTGATGTATGATTAAAAAACCCCTGTGCCTGAGGGTTTCTCAGCTAAACGAGTTCTCCTCATCATTGCAGTCTGCCCTGTTTATCCTTGGTTATTGAAACCCGTATATGCGGATGTGCTGAAATAGGTCAACCATGAACACCTTATCCGGCTAAAATCCAATCTTGCCAGCCAGTGACCCATCTAGGAAGCTTGTGTTCTTCCCCACCTTCTTTTGCATTCTCTTAGAAGCACAAGCATGTCAAAAAGCACTTTCTTGACTATTAGCAAGAAAATGACTTTCTCGACTTCTAACGGACTGATCTACTGTGTCCTGCTGGCAAACTGGAGTTGAAGCACACATGAATGAACGTTTGCCTTAAAACGTCAGTCACTGAAAGACAGCCTTGGAGCCGTGCTGATGACCTGTACCTGGCCCTGCTTGTATCATTCATGAGGGTTTCCTTGTCCTGATAGAGAAACTGAAACCCCCATGCCAGCCCACATTTGCCCAAAGCAGCAACGGGGATACTCATCACACCATCATGTCCCACCTTATCTTTTTTCTTAGTTTAAAAATGATTCCATTTCTACAGGATCAGTACTTACTTACGAGGGGAGCGGGGCTAATGCCCTTGAGTTAGTTGTACTGACTCCTCATTAGATGGGGAATGTGTCAGTATTTTCAGCAAACCTTGAATGTGATGAAACATTTGCTAAACTGTCTCCCAGTTTCAGAACAAGCTAACACACTCAGGGGCTCTATTTATAGCAATTGGGTGGAGTCAGGAGTGGGAACACGTCTTGCACTGTCACCTTGATTAACAATAGCTCTGACTTGTGGGAGGACGGTCAGGTCCTGTCTCCTGTAACATGGGGCAGTGATGGGTCAGGGTCATGGCTCCTGCATTTGGGTGAAGCCTTCTCATCACTTTTAGACAAACAAGTGCAGGACAACCGCAGGCCTCCCCACTTCCATCAGCATCCTCCCAACTCCCCCTGACGTCCCTCATGAAGCTCCCCACTGATTCAGAGATCCCGTCCTGAGGGGCTAAAAGAAACATTCATTAACCCATCTAGAAAGTCATGAATAATTCATGAATTACATTGAATTCATCCCTAGTATAACTATCTTCAGAAATTCAGACTTGGTAACCCATTAAAACATCAAAATAGTCAAAGATATTTATATCCACAATGAGTTCTTAATAAATGCCCAATACAGAACAATATAAATTAAAGCAAAAAAGTACAAATTTTGTGCATTGACAGGGGATGTGGGGGGAATATAGCATGTTTGTGTGTGATCAAAACTTTTTATCAGCTTTAAATAGCCTATCATAACTATAAATTTTTAAATGTAAGCTCCAGAGTAACCAAAGAGAAAAAAATTATACCACCAGATATGTCAATGAAATAAAGGAATCAAAGCTTATCAGTACAGAAACTCACCAAACCATAAAGGAAACAATAAAAGAAGAAACAAAAGATCTACAAAACAACCAGAAAATAATTAACAAAATGACAGAAGTAACTTCAGATGTAGAGTGGCCGAATGGTTTTTCATACATGTTTCCCTAGTCCAGACACCCAAGAGTATGTCCTTCTCTAGGGCATAAGAAAATCTAGAGTTATATTTAGGATATCATAATGTGTGGGGAAGAGTGGACCGAGCTGGCATGCTCACAATGACCAAATTATGTTGGTCACATTTTAATCCAATACATTGATCCACAATTAACTTGTAAATAAATAAAGTACTTGCTTTCTAGACACATTCCAGGAAGACCAGAGAAACTGACTTTTATCTATATGGAATAATCCACTGGCAAATTTCTTTTAGGATAGACCAAAGCTGATCTAGAACATAATCTTTACATAGCTGGATCCTTCCCATCAGACGAGAAAGAACATCTGGGGTGAAAGGCTCCATTAGAAGAGCAATGTGGGATGGTGCTGTGCTGACAACTGGTAGTCCCTGCCCTACATCTTTGTAGAGGACTGGAGCCCAGAGTGGGCCATGGTCAACTTATATGTTGAAGTGAAGACCTCCTTCTGGGTGTGCATGTGCTTATTACAGATATGCCACGGTGCGAAGTACCCCAGGACTACAGGAATAAATAAGAATACGTGCTGTATCCATGATCATGAGGCACACAGGCCAGAGTGCCAGCTGTGGAATAGCACAGCTCGGGTCCAAAGCCTAGCTGGGCCATGACCACCTGAATGACCTGAGTAATGATCTCAGACAAATTTGTAAAAAGAAGTGGAGGCCCTGCCTGCCAGGGGGCTATGCGGTAAGAGGCAGCATCCAGTCAGGTCAGGGCACCGTGTCCTCTCCTTGGAAACCTGCTCAGCGAGGCTGGAGGTCCTCAAGGCCATGGCAGCCATGGAGAAGGCGGGCCTGGCTCCAGGCGGCACAGAGGCACTGGACAGGTCCCCGGGGGGAGCCTGGCGGGATCTGGCTGGTCCTGCGCTCTGCTTCCAGGTTCTGGCCCTGTAAACCGACGTGTAGGGCCAAGACAGGGCCATTGTGTGTCAGCCAGTGCCTGGGTCAGGCGCCAGGCAGGAAGGGCTCTGGCGGATCAGCCCCACAATGCCCACAGCCCTACAGGGTGGCCCATCCAGGGCCACCGGTGGAGGGGCCTCATCCTTTGCCCTTTGACTCCTCTTGTAGGCGCCCTCACTGGGCACCTGCACACTCCTCCACACCCTGGCTCTGTCACCAGTCCCATTGTGATGTCATAAGCTCCCAGGTGCCCAGTGCGCACCCAGCCACAGAAAAGTGGGTGACTTAGGAGTATCCTCTCCACTTCTGACCCCTAGTTTCGTCCGCGCACAACTTGCTCAAAATGGGCAACTCGCTAAGCATATTTTGTTCCTGGTTCCGCCGCAGGTCCCGGCGAGGCCATCGGCAACGTGCTCCTCTAAATGTATTTTGTTCCTGGTTCCAGCGCAGGTTCTGGCCACACCATTGGCATCGTGCTCGTCTTGTCTGTGAGGCCTTCCCAGCTGGCTGGGCTCACCTCGTGGCTCCTGCACCTATGCCTGCCCCTGGAACTCTGGGCTATTCCCGATTCCTCTTCTACCCTCAGCGACATCCTGGGCCTTCTTTTCCAGCCAGGTGGGATGGCGCCCCTACGAGGCTGTGTCTTCTCCCTCAGAACAGAGGCACCCCACCGAGGGTCCCGCCTCCTGTGGTCTGGAGCCCCCCCTCAAGGAAGAAACCCGTGCTGTCTGCTCGCAACTCCATGATGTTCGGACACCCCAGCACCGTGAGGATCCCTCGTCTCAGATGCAAGTTTAACCTCCGACTGCCTTCATTAGATAAGCAGGTGATCCCAGCCAGGCTCCCGAAGACAGAAGAAGAGCCCGAAGAACCAGTGGAAGTGGATCAGGTAGAGACTCAGGGGCAGGAGGATGAGAAAAGGGGCCCCTGTAGCAATGGGGAAGCAGCTTCCACCTCTAGGCCCCTGGAGACTCAGGGAAACCTCACTTTCTCCTGGTGCAGTCCCAGGCCCTTGGAGGGAAATGTCCATCTCAAGAGCTTGACAAAAAAGAACCAGAGTGACAAGGCCCAGGTGCATGCAGTGAGTTTCTACTCCAAGGGCCATGGAGTCTCCAGCTCACACGGCCCTGCTGGAGGCGTCCTT